AAAGTAGGACGGAACGATTGGCCGTCGGTAATCGGTTCTGTGGGAACAAACAACGCCCCGCCCTCTCGAGGATGCGTGGTCAATGGTCCAACCCCGCTATGTATGTAAGGCAGGCAACGCATGAGAGTACGCCCCCCCTCGGCGTCAACACGACCACCATCTTCCTCACCTCCGTGTCTATTGGGTCCGTCCACATTCTCGCCCACCCTTCCAGCGGAGGCACCTCGCCGTGCTTCGTCGTGAGCGTGTGGAACTGGTACGTGCCGTGCGTCCATACGAAGCCGTCCTGGGCCGGCATCACCTCCCGCGCGTGCGCCGTGAGCGCCCAGACGTGTAGCGCGAGCTCCGCGTCCTGGGTTCGGGGGGGGGGGAAGGTCTATTAAGAGCAGCTGCCGCAAAAAAGCAACGAAGACTCAAGAGTGGGAGGACACCTGGGTAAGGGGCCCCGGTGTATCAACTACACAGCCCCGGCAAAGATGCGATATCATCACGGCCCACCAAACAGCCGGCCGCGGCTACATCATCACGAGCGCAATAGCGGGTACATGCGCACGGCAGACGTGAGGGAGTCGTGATCGCCACCATCGAGGCGCGCGCGAGGCGCTCAAGCGCAACGCTGTTCTGTACCGTAGGTTACATTTAAGACATCCCGAACACCCCTGACCGATTTTTCAAAGCTCGGGTACTCGGCCGCAAACAATCAAAACAGCGAAGGCGTGCCGACAAAAGCGGCATTGGATGCTACGTGTCGGCGAGAGCACTCCGGATCGGCCTCGTTAGACCGTGGCATCCCCTCGACGTGTGGAGTAATCAACCTCTCAATCGGCCCACGGGGTGTGGTGTCCTACGCAGCCCGAGGAACTCCATTGTGTGTATGTGTGTGTGCTCATGTACATGCATGCCGTAGTCGTTAGACCATAGACCTCGCATTCCCACAATGCCGAGCCGGAGTGGAATGCCGGGTTTTCGCCGGCCCAGGCTACGTTTCTCAGGTGCTGGTCATCATACCGGGGGGGGGGGGGGGGGG